TCACATGGCTGTGCCTAAGATCAAAATGAACAGTATATGCTTCAAGATTATATGTTGCTTCTTTAAGAGTTGTCCATAACCCAACAAAGATCAGGTTTGAATGCCACCTAACAGTTATAAGCCAAGACCATGAAACTATTAAACAGCTAACCAAGAAAAACTCGAGTCCTTTCTTCCTCTGTCAGAAATACCTCTCCCAGGTACTGAAACAGTTACAGTGCAATGGTGTTAGTGATGGACACTAGAATTTTCCTTCTTGTAAGCTTCAAACCAATGTTGTTTCTTAGTTTAGCAGAATGAGATTTTCTGTGTATGTGAGTGATTGTATGCCACTGAATGTTAGCCATGTCTGAATGAAGATGCTGTGTGTGTGTGTGTTCGTTTTTCCATAAACCAATAAAAGATTATGTTAGAATAAAGTCTAGCTATCTGCCCTCTATTGAGTTTCACTCCAATTGCAAATATGAGCCTAAATACAAAGAAAACCAGCCATAAGTAATTACAAACTAGATTTAAAAAACACTTTTAATATGAAGTAATTAATCTCTTTTTCCACATACTATCCAAAAGCACATTTTGCTCATCAAACACAGAACACTGCCACAATAGAACCCTTCCCCAACATACTCACTCTGATTTTGATCTGTATACAAGAGACTAAAAGAAAAAAATTGAAAATATAACTACATCTTTCTATAACTGTATAGAAGTTAACAGCTCACAGAGCAGAACTGACATAATTTTTTAAATCCAAGAACCTAAGTTCAAGTCCTAACTATGCCCTAGGATGATGGTACCATTTGGTTGACAGCACCAAACTCAGTTACTCTGAGGAGTCAGCAAGTAGGTACAAACTAGAGTACCTCTCTAGAATACTAGAGAGTACGTACTCTCAAAAAAACATTAGTTTTACTATTATTCTGTTATAGCCATATGATTCAATGTAAAATATATAAGATTTAAATATTTTTTAAATAGAACATAAAATCTAACAAAACTAAAGATTATCTTGCCTTCCTACCTTTTGATCACTTACAAGTTCAAGGGTTTATATCATTCAATCAATCAAAGGCTGGGCATGGTCGTGCATGCCTGTAATCTCAACAGAAAGAGCCAATAGTTTGAGGCTAGCCTGGGCTGTATACCCACACCCTGACTCAAGGTGGGAGAGGGGAAAGAAAGAAGGGATAACAGAAGGAGGAATGTAGTGAGTAACACTCAATTTTGCTACTCAGGATCTCCTACAGTGTACTATGGCAATATAATTAAAAGTGGCTGTATATATGAAAGATAGAGGACTTAATGTAACTGAACAGTATGCCACCAGGTGGCATATATAGTGGTGAATATATAAATATTCACTTTTAGTTTTTCTGGATGGTGAGTTCCATAATAAAATAGTAGGATAAAAAAATAAAAAATTAAAAAAAAACAATGCTGCCACCCAGAGGAATGCTTCTATTATCATCTACTATACAGAAATGACAGTAAGCCAGACACAGTAGTAACAGCCTGTAGTCAGTTTTAGTCCTAGCATTCTGGAGGCTGAGGCAGGAGGATTTCTGGAGCCCAAGAGTTGGAGCATATGTAACTTACAAAACCAATCTCAAAAACAGTAAAACACCACCGGATGTTCAGAAAATTAGCTTCTTTTTCTTGGACCCCTCAAGGCAACTTTACCATTCATCTCCTCTTAATACAGCCATTCTTAAAAAAAAAAAAAAAAAAAACAAAAAAAAAGCAAAAACTTCAGTGGGGGCAGGGGGAAGCTTTTGCTATATATACTTCAGGCTGACCTCAAACTGTAGGTGCTCTGGCTTCAGCTTTATAAGTGCTTGGGATTGCCAAAAAAAATGTCACCATCCTCATTTGAAATGTCTTAACCTAAGCACAAGTATATGGTCTCAAGTTATTCTAAGGCACCAAATATCAAGTCTTTAATTTCTCTGGAATAAAAACAGAAGCTAAATCAACAAATTTCTTTGGTAATTTGACCAAAGAAAACAAACAGCTAGATGGATTATCTGTTCCAAACTTTAACATTTGCTGCTAATGCCAATAAACCCCTTAACCAGAAATACTATGAGCATCTTAACAGGTACCTGATATACAAGCACACTGTAGGTACTAAAACACTTGAGCCACTCCAAATGGTTAATTCCTTCTCATTTTCTTTCCCATCTCTACCAGTAACTGAAATGTTAATGTACTTAGTATTACAACAGAAACCCAAACACCATGAGACATCTCAATTTTAAAATGCATATTTTTATTTCTGATTGATATCAGATGATCTGATATCTGCTAAAATGGTACTAGTGGGAATACAGAAAATAATAATTATTGACAATAATATAGAGAAGTGAAACCCTTTATCCAATGTTCGTGGGAATGTGAAATGGTATGGTCACTGGGAAAAAGACAAATGGCAGGCTGGGAGTGTAACTAGTGGTAGAATACATGCCTAGTATGTGGAAGGCCTTGGCTTCAATCCCCAGAACAACAAAAGACAACAACAAAAAAAAAAAAAAAAAAAAAAAAAACGGCAATCCCTCAAAAGTTAAGGGTGTATTCCCAAAAGGATTGAAAGGACCACAGCAGCATTATGTATGTCAACTGAAATTTGGAAGCAACTTGTCCATAAAGAGATGAATGGATAAGAAAAAGTATTACATGCAAGGGTACATTATTCAATCTTAGAAAGAAAATCATGGCAGATGTTATAGCAAAGACAAACTTTGAAGACATTATACTAAATGAAATAAACCACACACTAAAAAAAAAAAAAAATAGACAAGCACAGTGAAAAGTTAGCTAGTGAAGTTCAAAGACAAAAAGCAGAAAAGAGGCTGCCAGGGGATTCAAGGAAGAGGAGGGAAAGAGGAGTTGTTTAACAAGTATAGAATTTCAGTCTTCCAAGATGAAGAATCCTGAAGAGGATGGAGGTGGTAATTGCACAACAGAGTAATACACAATGACCCTGAACTACACACTTAAAAACATGGTTAGGATGATAGATTTTGTGATCAGTATCTTACCACAATAAAAATACTGAAAAATAAAATTAAGAAATTGGTCTCTTCAATGGTCAAGTGGTGATTCCATTGGGACTGACAGGCAAACACTCAACGTTGTGGCTACCTACATCTACCTCTCCATACTCTGAGAGCTCCTCTTGCTCTCCTCAGAGTCTCCTTTCTTCCCAGAGCCATACCAAATGTGTACTTCAGCAACTAGTACTCCTGCTCCACCAGTTCAAAGCAGCAAGGAACTTAATCCCTCTCAATGTTAATGCCTCCTCTTTAAAACAAGGATAATTCCTACCTACCTGCCACACAAGGTTGTTATGAGGGCAAAAGTGAGATCACATTCATAAAAGTAGCTTTCAACTGCCAAGCACCAAAGAAACATAAATTAAGTTTAACTACTTTCACAAGGCGATTGAGACGCTTTAATAACATAAGCTTCACAAACATAAGCTTACAACACCTCACCCATGCTGGCATTTAAAATGTACATCATCCCCAAATAACACCTTTCTTTTTTAGTCTTTAACTGAAGGGCAACATAAGGGGTGGGGTGCTCTTAAATACCCTAAAGCATTTGAACCAACTACCCAAAACGCAATAAATTATTCTACATATCCCACGAAAATTGAATATTTATGACCCCAGGATAGGCCTACAACGTCCTAGAACTACACTTCCCACAAAGCATAGAGTGGAACACTGGCAGCTGGCTGGGCGGCCTGGCATTAAGGGTGACCACTGCTCACAGTGAGCTTGGATCCTCATCTCCTGGAAAATTGCAACGCTTGGCATGGAATGGGAATGTCTCTCCTTTCTGACAGCTCCGTCACCCCGCGTTTTGTTTTGTTTTTTCTGCCATTAACTGCGGCCCTATTGGTCTTTACTGCTTCAACCTGAAAGTCATCTCCAATCTGTGACCTTTCTGCTGATTCCTTGGACGTGAGGGAAAGGCACCCTCTCCCCTTCCCAAAAGCTCCTTTTCCAGAATTCGTCCGTCAGTCAGAATCAGGGGACATGCGGGGGTCAGACGGGACGGACGGGTGGACAGAGTCCGACCTGGGGCGACAGGCCGCGCGCCAGCTCCGGTAGCAGGTCAGCGGGCCGGGATCCTCCAAGGCCCGGGCCAAAGCAGATTTTGAGCAGGGATAGCTATGCCCAGGGCTCTGGTTTCAATTTCATGACGTGACACTGCAAACCTGCGGCCTACAAGCGCCCGCGGCGGCGGCCCGCCCGCTCGCCTGCCCTCCCGCCAGGCCCGAGCGCCCGAGCCCCCAGCACGCCGAGACCGCCGCACGCCCGCTTGCCCGGCCCTGCGCCCACCAGCCTCCAGGAGCCGACCGAGCCCGGCCCTGCGTGGAGCTGAGTCTCGCTCGCGGCCGCAGGCTCTGCGCCGCACTTACTCAGCTCGTCCTGGGAGGCGGAGGCGGCGGCCGCAGCCATGTTGCGCCCGGGAGCGAGCGAGGGAGGGGCGGACAGCCGGCGAGGGGGGCTCGCGGCCGTCGCCGTGCCGTGTCGCGCCGCGCCGCGCCGCGCCGTGCCGCAGGGGCCCGGGGCCGCCTTGGGTCTCTCACGCGGGCCGCGCTGCGCCCTCGAGGCCCGCCCGCCGCCTGCGTCCTCTGCGCGGCGAGCGTCGCTCTCGCCGCGCCTCGCGAGCTCGCGGCTCGGGAGCTCCCTCAGCCTCGCGCCTCTGAGGAGCCGCCGCCGCCGCCCGTGCGGCCGAGGGACCGCCTGGCGGCTCTTCGGCCCGGCGCCCGGCTTGCTCGCCTCACGCCGGCTCTTATATTTAGAAAGAGCTGAGCCATCCTCCTCCCCCCCCTCCGCCGGCCCCTCGCGCGCCCGCCCTCGCTCGCTCGCGCCGAGCTCGTCCTGCCCACCTGCCGCCGCCAAGCTTCCCCCCGCGCGGAGCGGAGACGCGGCGAGCCAACCCCACCTCAGCCTCATTCCCTCAGCCGCACGCACGCGGCCTCTGACCTGAGTCGGAGCCGGTCTCCATAGCCCGGGATGCTGCGGCGACCAGCGAGGTGGAGGGAGGGCCGGGCCTGAGGAGACGCGCGGCGGCTCCTGAGGAGCTTGTGTGAGGCCAAGCTGACCTGGGCTGCCTTGGCCGCCGCGGGAGAAGTTCCCCGAGGCGCGTGGCCTCGGGCTCTGGCGTTAAAGGTCTGCGGCTGTCACGTCCGCCTGGCCGGAGCTGAAGGAACACGCGCCCGAACGGAGGAAGAGACGCGGACTCGGAAAAGTAGAGCGGGGCTCGAGTCGAGGAGGAAGCCCCGCCCCGCGCCTCGCGCCCAACTTCTCGGCCTCTGCGCTGACTCAGGCCGGGCCTCCGAGCAGCCCCGAGGTTAGAGCGCAGAGGGACCTGCACAGAGAGCTCACACTGAGGGATGCCTCCCTAACCTTAGCCTCCCGAGCAGGCTGCGAGCAAGGGAAGGCCAGGGAACCACGGTATTTGTTCTTAACCCGAGTTTAGTGGAAATCCCAACTTTTAACTTTAAGCCTCTAGTCTGTCCAAGAGGTCTCATGGTCCTGTACAGCTACAAAATGGAATTCAAACCAAGGAGGGTTATATGATTACTATAAAAAATTAGGTGCCAGAGAAAATAATTTATTTTAGAGGAAAAAATAATGGAGACCCTAAATGAATTGAAATTGCACATATTCCCCCAAAATGGAATCCCTAAGACCCTAGATAAAGCCTTGAAATTTGAATATATGCGGTTCCGAATGTAACATAGGCAAGTACGGGATAGCAACAAACACTGAAAGGTATTACTTCCTGTACTAATTTTACATTTACAAAGAAATCTACATTATCTTTGTAATTAACATAAAAATAAGAATCCTTCCTCCTAGTTCACCCATCTCACACCCAAGAGAAAAATTATGAAATGTAAGATTTGCTGATTCTAGTGTCTGGACACTTGTACAGCCCCAGGTACAGTTTGGTTCATAGTGATAATGCTTGGATATTCACACACACACACACTCCTTCCCTGCTGCTTTTTTTTTGCCTGATGCTGGACTTTGGGACAAAATTGGATCCTGAAAGTCTGGCCTAAGAGAGGTTAATAATGATTGCACAGTTTCATTGCCCATGGAAAAGCAGGAGGTGGGGCTAACTGAAGGAACTATGTCACTGGCCGTGTGTCCTTAGAGACTGTGTTGCAATGGTCTCTTCGTCATTGCTGTCTGCTTCCTGTTTGCCATGAGAGAGCTGCTTTATTTCACTATACACACCCTGCCATGTATCCAGCCTCACCTCAAGTCCACAGCAATGGAACACAGTGGCCATGTACCAATTGCCTGAAACTGTGAGCCAAATATGTTTTTACTCGTTTTGTCATATATTTGTCACAGTAACAGAAAAACAAACACAGGTGGGGTCAAGGTTCTGGGTAAATGTTTTCAACCCCCACAAACATTTTTCAATGTTAATTCAAAGAACTACTTATCATTTTTATTAATGGTTTGATAGTATATTTAACTTCTCCCCACCCTCACTCCCATATTCCCCAATCTCACCCGGCTCTCCAAACTCATTGCAGACTAATTCTCCCTCCTGGGAATTTGAAACTGACTATAGATTTGTGCTGCTGCTCTGAACCTTAGTCCATTTTTTAGTAGACATTCTTGCTCTCTGGTTTGGCATTTCTTTCAAAATAAGTGTGCAATGACCATTAATAAATGATACTGAAGTACAGAAATGTCTCTCCACCCCTCCCTGTACCATTATCCCCTACTTTACTCCTCAGAAAGAATTCAAAACTTGTCAGCAGTTTGATGCATACAAACTCTCCTAGTTCTGTACTATAGTAAAGCACTCCAAATGTCGTGAAAGACTGGCTGAGGGTCTCTGATCTACTTAGCTGTTTAGAGATGGCAAGAATAGAGGCTGGAGGGATGGCTCTGTGGTTAAAAGCATGGTTGCCCTCCCAGAGGACCCTTGTTCACTTCCCAGAGTCCACATGGCAGTTAATAACCATCTATAACTGAAGTTGCAAAAGATTTGACTGACATTTTCTAACCTCTGTGGGCATTGCATGCATGTGGTGAACAGACATATATGTGCTGACAAAACATCCATACACATAAAACAAAAATAAATCTCAAAAGAAAGGTGCCAAGAATAGCTTCCTTGGTGTTAGCATCTCTGAGCTCTTGAACATTCGAGGCTTACTAACTCAGGCATATAGATCCGGTCCCTGAGACCTAGAGGTGTATGACTCTAGGTAAGCTTTAAAAGCCAGAGGCTTATACTATACGTCTAAGTGCTCAGATCAAAGCAAGCCACAGCCTTCAAAGTCAGAGGCTTTTTGCTCCAGAATTGCTCAGCCTGAGACTTGGAACCGTAGGAACTCAGGTCGGAGGTTATCATGCTAGGCACAGAACCCAGCAGCTGGTGTTACAGCAGCAAACTTCAATTATCAGGACCCTTGGCTCCAAGCCCCTGACAGCTCTCTGGAAGTCTTCCATGGATGGGGCTTTCAACTTCACTGCTTCGTCTCTTCACCGGTTCTTACCTTCGGGCTCTTCTCTCTATAGTTTGCTGCCTTGGGCTGCCCTCTGAAGCTTCCAGATAACGTTCTGACTTCCCCTGCTGCCGCTGCTATTTCTGTTAGCACCCCTGCTAGGGCTAAACACCACCCCAGTGCTCTGGCTTCTCTCCATGCAACAAGTTCAGCCCACTCTACCTATAGTAAAGACTATGTATGGGCAAATGAAAGAACACTCAAGAGAGACTTTTATTGGAACCTAATATGATACAGAAACAGTACATGGAAAAAAAGCCTTCAAAACTGACCCCATGAGACTACGAAGCAGGCTGCTTATATAGCTAGAAAGGGGGTGTGGCACGTTTGGGAACAGCCCCTAGCTCCACCAGTCAAAGCTTTGCATGTTTAGCAATCATGACCTAGTTTGTGTGTGTCAATTAAGAGCTTTTTGCTGAGTCACCAGGTAACTTAGTCCCCTTGGCCTAAGGTGACATAGCCCAAGAGAGGTAGCATCATCAAGATGTCACTGAGACGTATGATGAAAGTGAAGTCTCCAAGAGCTGATGCAAACTGACCAGGACAGACATGACTAAAATGAGACCTCTTGAGCAGCTATCATCATAATGGTGTTAAACTACAGTTGAATTTCCTCAGTACCCATGCAATGTTCAAAGCAGCCAGGCCACCATGATAGCACTCCTGACATAGCTCCCTAAAAGGGACTGCTTCATTGACATCTCCTAGTCACAGCAGTCCGATACATGGGAAGATTCTGACAGTTGTCTGTCAAACGGTGAGTGGCTCAGTCACCACAGCTTTGATCATTTAAAAGGAAAAAAAAAAAAAAACATGAAAGAGTGTGTACGTTAAAGGCCTGTTGTGAACCAGTACCTGCCTCACAGTGTTTAATGTTATTCAACCTCTACTGAAAGGAAGCTCAAAGAGATTTGGGTACCTTGCATCTGTCTCACAGTGACTGGATAGGAAAAGTCACTTTCTGTAATTTCCAGTGGATCCTTTCATAGCCGTGTCAAATAAAAACCAAATATAAGTAAAGGACAGTGACAGAGGTGATTTTAGCCTTTAAACAAGAATAATTAGCAACTTGTTCATCATATGTTGGGAGCCAAGTCCTAGCTGAAAGCGGCTATCATCTTTGCAGCCATCTCAGGCCATATACCCTGACAAGAGACTTATTTTCAACACCTACAACAGCTGAGCACACGCTGATAAACACCTTGTTTTTCTCAGACATATCTGGTTTTGTTGTTTAGTGCCCCAGCTGCAAGCCACACATGGTAAAGTGTCTTTAGCTGCATTATTCCCCTGCTTGTGCATATAAATACCCATGATTTTCTTTCAATAAAGGGGACTTGATCACACTCTCTGTCTTGTCTCTATTCTTCGAGTCTCTTCCCCCTCCATCCCCCCCCCTCTCTTGCAGACTCTGTTGACTGACCCGCACGGGCCAGGTCACCTGGTGCCCAAACGTGAAGCAGCGTGGGCCGGGTCAATCATATATGGAACCAGTTTGGACATGTGCAAATCACCTGCATGTGTGTACACAGACTTTTAACCAAAACAGTGGAATCTTGTTATACATATTATTGTGTGTTATCATTGTACCAATTAGTATATCACAAGTACCCTTTCCATATCACTGATAACAATCACGGTTAATAAAATACTAATTCTTCCTGGTAGGAAATTAAGTATTGGACTCATATACTCCTCCCAACAGTTTTATGAAGTGGGATTCTTATGGCGTAGAGTGATTCAGGAATACAGCCACAGCACCACAGACTAGAAAGTAAATGAGGAGTGGAGACTTGAGTCTAGATGGTCAATTAGAGTGGTTTGGTTTCGTCTGGCTGTGTTGTACTATAGCATGTTGTGTGGTGTTGGGAATGGCCCCAATGCCTGGTGCTTATTTAACAGGCTTCTATCACTGAAGTATGCTGTCAGTGTTTTCTTACTTGATTCAGTCTGACTAGTTAGGTAGCCCTAGAGGAGCATTGTCACAGAGATGGAAACTCAGCTCTACCATACTGCTTTTACTCTTATTGTGAGGGAAACTTGTATAAACCAGGAGGACCCTGAACTCACTGTGTAGACCAGGCTGGCCTCCACAATTTCTACCTCAGTGTCCCCAGAGCTGGGATTACACATGCTACCATACATGTTCATACCTGTATTCTTACCCACTATGACCATACAGAACTATTCTTTTAAATGTTTACATGATAAATATATAACAAAATATATTTTTAAATTGTCCTGGGGACTGGCTTTTAAATTGGCTTTCAGGGCTGGGGGATGACTGAGTCAGTAAAATGTTTGTTTTGCAGCCATGAAGACCTGAGTTACATTCCCAGCTCCTACGTAAAAAGCCAGAAGCACAGAATGGGGATATAATTTCCATTACTGGGTATCCAGAAACAGGAAGTTCCCTAGGGTTTGCTGGCCAGCTAATCTACCAAACCAAGAACTCTAGGTTCAGTGAGAGACCCTATCTCAAATTCGATAAGGTGGAGAATGATTGGGACGGACATCTGCCATTGACCTCTAGCCTGAAAACTGACACAAGTGCACATACACCTTCACACACAGATATGCATACACAAAAATGTCCTTTTATGAGCACTTAGGTTCTCAATTTTTACTATTGTGAGCAATCCTGTCAAAAAGTGTGTTGTTATGCAATTATGTATTTCTAT